AATTTACCGAAGCAAATCCATCCGGGAAATGACGAATCACTTTTCATTTGGGAGCTACGTTGGAAATATGATGAAAGCACTGTGGGCCTGATTTATGCCCTTGTAAGAATTAGCTGGTGCTGCAGGGATTTGGTAAACGGCTCATGCCCTATGCTTGGACCCTGACCGCTGCCGGGGTTAGGCTTTCACCAGCCTAACCTTCCCACCAGGGAAGGTTAGGCTTTACGTGGTGCTGGAGAGACCACTGAGGTGTAAAAACATGAGGGATCCCCTGACCGCTGTCGGGGTTAGGCTTTTACCACCCTCACCTTCCCACCAGGGAAGGTTAGGCTTTACGTGGTGCTGGAGAGACCACTGAGGTGTAAAAACATGAGGGATCAAAAAAATACATGTCAGTGCCAGAGGGGATGAGCGCTGGGTCCAGGACTGCTGAGGAAGGGCAGGGTTTGTGCTCCCCGGTGCATGGCATACCCCAAAACTGCACTCACTAAAGCTGCTGGGAGTGCTTGAGAGGAGCTCTAAGGCTGGGTTAAAGGGCAGGCTTGTGGCCAGGCCAAAGGGGAACCGCTGCAGGACTCCTCGGCGGCAGAGATGGCTGATGAAGCCATCCCCAAGCCCAGCAGAGAAAGCTCCTTTAGATGGTGCCTGTGGTGTCTCCATTCCCATACAAAGGACAGAGACATGGTGAAGGGGTCTATGGCCAAGGGCTCCATAGCAGGGATTTGCCAGCTGGGATTTACCAGCGATGCCACCGGGCAGGACCCAGAATCCTCCCAGACAGATGCAGAAATGTGCCACAATGACTTGGCTTTTTAGCCATTGGAAAGAAAACAACTAAAAACCGCCCCTTTTCCAACTCCCAGCTGGTGAGCCTGGAAGAAGCGGCGGTGCCACCCATGATTGCCTCAGCTCCAATGAGTTTCTTGTTCCAGCAAAGAAAATCAATGGCTTGCACGGCTAATGGCATCAGAGAGTTTCTGCTTGTCGATAGCACTTAGGCACTGGCGGTCTCCAGGAGATGTGCCTCCCAGCACAGCAGATTTTCGGGAGCCTCTCGGCACGGTTCCTTCTCCCAGACCAGTCATGGGATGCCAGGACAGCGGCATCGCCTGATGCCACCGGCATCACCTTCGCTAGGAGCCAGGAGGCCACCGGCCGCCTGCCTGAGCACAGGGCTCCCCGCTTACTTGCTGCCCTCAAAGCAGCAGCTCTGCCTGTCAATAATCAGAACAATTAGGCAGAAGGCTTGTACGTTGTAATTAGCTCTGATCAGCGCAATCTCCCTTCCCTGGGTGGGGGGGGCAGCAAGGCAGGAGCCGAGCACTGAAAGCACAGCGGGGGGACAGTGCTGTTGAGCAAAGGTTCCCGCGCAGCTCATCTCTGCGTGCAAATGCTCCCCTGCCCCTTCGAAACACCCCACAGCCCCATCGCTCCGGGGCCGGGGAGGCCGATGCGAAGTTACACATGTGCCTGCTCGTATGGGTGGCTCTCGGGGGCAGAATGAACCCCTTGTCTTGGGGACACTGCCGCTTCCTGCCGGGTCACCTCGGCCCCGGGTCTGCGGGGTGGCAGCCGCCCTGCCCTTGGCCAGGGATTGTTCCTGCTCTTCCTGAGCAAGGTCACGGCCCCGAGATCTGGAAGGAGAGTATCTACCTGCAGAGGTATCAGCAATGGCCCGTACAAGCAAGCCACTTTCTCCATGGCCTTTCTTTGATGGGTTTCCCAGCTCCTCAGGAAGGAGAAGGCTTCCTGGCTGTGACCTCGGGACGGGGTGACACCGGCTGTTGCTCCCATGGACATGGCACTGACAGCTTAGCGTCCAAGTCCCTGTTCTGGAGGCAGTGAGATTGCTGGAGTGGTTTTTCTTAAACACTGAAGTGGTTAAACTCGCTGGTGGCAGGGAGCAGAGCTGCCCATGGTGCTCGGCATGCAGCAGGGGTGCAACTGGGGGGTGGGGAGTGGGGGTGGGGGTGTCTGCTGAGGA